AAGTTAAACAGTTACTTTCCTTGTGAGATCGGACTGGAGACTCACAGAAATCAAAAACACTTAAATGTTTACAAAACATTTACAAGAATATACAAAAATTCTAAAAATGATCAAATAAAAAAATTTTAAGTAAAGCAACACCTTAATCAGTGATCACCAAACTTGTTTCTGAAGGGCCAGTGTCCGGCAGATTTTAGCTCCAACCCTAATAAACACACCTGAACAAGCTAATCAAGATCTTACGAGGTATACTTTAAAAACCCAGGCAAGTGTGTTGAGGCAAGTTGGAGCTAAACCCTGCAGGGACACTGGCCCTCTAGGACCGAGATTGGTGACCCCTACCTTAAATAAATCGGTAAACTCTAAATTTGCAGCTTTGAAAAATGAATTAATAGTTTGTGCGTTAAGTTGTTATATAAAATAACCAATTTGGATGCTAATTATTAAGATAGACTAAACTTTAGGAATTGATTATTTCACATTTGAAAAGATTTGATTGAAAAAGACTTTGTATGTGCATTGTTCTGCTTGTTTAACTCTGCCGTTGTTAGAACCATTCATTAGTTTTTAAGAACTCGCTGTATCTATGTAAATTCACCATACATAGACACACACTTTCAACATGTCTAGGAGCGCTGTCTAAAGTTGACTCCTTTTCCTGTGTTTGTGTCTGAGCACTGAAATCCATGTTTCAGCTCCAATGCAGAAAAACAGAACATCTACCCGTCCAGTTTCCCTTCTCTTAGAATAACGCCTGTCAGTCTCCTTCTTTCCTGGACCGGTTTTCATAGTGTTGATTGCTGTGTTTCTGTAGGGGTGGAGTGTGCCTTAAAAAATACATCCGTGCTTGAAGTTATATGTCGACACAGTAATTATATAAGCAGCTTATGATCAGAAATGTAATGAGTGGTGAAAAGGAGTGATGAAGAAATGACTGTTTGATCTGAGTGAGATATGCTGTGAACATATTTAAGGTGATTTGATTGCAGATGTGTATTTGCATAACTAATTCCATAGCAGACGCAAGTTGTTTGAAACAAATGACATAGCATGCAGTAAATCTATCAATTACTTCAAAAGGAAAAATAAAACTCATCAACTCACCTTCATGTCACTCCAAAACTGTATTTTCTTTTTTTGAAGTTTCCAAAAATAGTGGATGTCCAAATGTTCAGTCCATTGACTTTCACTGTATGGAGAAAAAAAATACAATAAGGCATTTCTCAAAATAACTCTTTCACTACGGTGAACAAATTATATTTATATTTGACATTTTTGCTGTAACTTTAAAGAAGAGATTTATTAATTGCTTTCTTCTGTTAAACACAAAACAAGATATTTTAAATAATGTTGGAAAAAAGTTTCCACTGACATATAGTAAGAACAAAAAAATAAATAAAAATAAAAATACTATGGTCAGTGACCAGTTTTTTACCCCAACATTTTTGAGTATATCTTGCTTTGTGTTCAACAGAAGAAACTTAAACAGGTTTGAAAGAAGTGGACGGTGAGTAAAATCATGACAATTTCTTTTTTATTTTAGAGTGAACTATGTCTTTAACAAAGCATTTATTCATTCATTCATTTTACTTTTGCTTAGTCCCTTTATTTATTAGGGGTTCCCCAATACACTGCAACCAATTTAGTTTATTCAATTCACCTATAGCACCTGATAATTCATTCATTCATTCATTTTCTTTTCTGTTCTACGCAGCGGATGCCCTTCCAGCTGCAACACATCTCTGGGAAACATCTATACACACCCATAGACTACGGACAATTTAGCCTATCCAATTCACCTGTACCACATGTCTTTGGACTGTGGGGGAAACAGGAGCACCTGGTGGAAACCCACGCGAATGCAGGGAGAACATGCAAACTCCACACAGAAACGACAACTGACCCAGCCGAGGCTCGAACCAGCGAACTTCTTGCTGTGAGGCAACAGCACTACCTACTGCGCCACCGCGTCGCCAGCTTAATAATAATAATAATAATAATAATAATAATAATAATAATAATAACAACAATAATACTAAAAATAATAATAACAATAATAATAATTTTAATAACAATAGTAATAACAACAACAATAATAATAATAATAAATATTTTAATACAGTGCTTTTCTAGACATTCAAAGCACTTAACATGCAGCATCCACCTGGATGACATGACGGCAGCCATATTGTGCCAGACCGCACCCCACGCACAAGCTGATTGGTGGAGAGGAGACAGAATGATGAAGTTGAGACGCAACAGTGCTGACCACTGAGCCACCCCAAAAACCATTTAGAGTGATACAAATATAATAAATACAATAAAAACATTCAAACAAACACAAGACTTTTTCTTGCAATATTTTACTAAACAATTGCTAAATTAGTTTGCTTTATTAAAAAAAGTCTTTTACAAACAATGATAAATGTTTAACGTGATTCTGTATTACCAAACATGCACTGAATAGAATCTTCTCCTATTGACAGACAAAATGTTGTGC